CTCTATACATCATACTTTTCCTGTAGGCAGTTGAGTTGTGCTGGTCATTTATCTAACTCTTTTCACGGGAAAATTTTTAAATTGAAATAAAATGATTTCTGATTTGCATTGGAAATTCATATATAGTTAATTGGGGTGCTACTACTACTGCTACTACTACTAAGTGTTCAATGATTTTATCCACTCAACTACTAGTGGGAAATGTTAATTTGATATAAGATTCTATAAATACTGTAGTTTATCTGACAAAGATAATCTATTATTATTATTCATAATTAATTAATTAATCTTCTTACCTGAGCAGGTGGATAATGAGCCATCAGAGTTCTTAAGCGAGAACAGTTGCGATCATCAACAAATTGGCCAATCTATTTCAAACAAAATTTTTTGTTTAGACTTAAATTTAAGTATTTGAAATTTTTAAGAATTTTTTAAAATAAAATAAATATTAAAAAGAAACATAGATCTACTTTTAAAAAACTAATGTTTTTGATTATTAAACAGTCAGAACTTGTTTCAAAACTTGATAAGATACAAATGTTAGTCAGTTATAATCGTCTTCCATTTATATAGAGGTAATGAGTTCTATACAAATGTAAGATGATGACGACTGACCAACATCTGTATTTTAGAACTTATCATTTGTAGAGATCATAACTTCCATATAAATGAAACAATGCTCTATCCTCCAATTGTTGAAGTAATGTAGTTTGTCTATGAAAAGTTGTGGCAAGAAGAGTGCAAAAAGCCCTCTACCTGCCATGAAAGAGAAGATTAAAAGTGAAACAAGTCAGTCAAAATTTTTAAAATACACCTGTTAGTTTAAATGTTTACTTTTTTAAATAAAGTTTTAATTAGATTTTTCCTTCTGCTTACATTAAATTATTATTTAATCTTCCACTTTTTAGATAAAATTTTTGCACCCCAGTTTCAATATTTGATATATTAAGTAACACAACAAAAAGCTTAATATAATGTACTAAAAGATAATACGTAAAATTAATTACATGAAACTTTCCAATGGATGTATCAATGAAACATATGCCATATTCACTGGAACTAGAAGCTGCATTACATTCCTAGAAAATAAAATTATTATTATTATTATTATTAAATATTTAAATCTAAAATGCAGTTTTGGATGATCTTGACAAAAACTATAACTCCAAAAATTAAAAACTCAGAAGTTATGAAAATGAAGATTTTTCTGTATTAAGCTCAGCATAGAGAATGAAGCATCTGAATCATAAATAATTTGCATTATTTATGATTCAGACGCTTCATTGGAAGTACAGGTATACCTCGAGTTACATCATTCTCAATTATATGTCGTTTGTCAAAAAAATATATGGAAAAATAAAAATCAAGTTTAAGTCATTTTATTTGACTTTACGTCTGTCCACCACAAATATTGAAATCGTAATATCACTAGAAAAGTGTTAAAAGCACAAAAATGCTGTAACACATGAAAAACTTTGCTAATAAGTTTTAAAGTTTCTAAATTTATAAATGAATAAAAATTACCTTTTCAGTTAAAGCTAATAAATAAGCATTACAGATATTCTCTGGATCACTTTCCTGAAAACCGAAAGTCCTTGTTCCTTTAGTTGTAATTCGACAAATCTCTCTACTCACAACTCGGTCAAATTTAGATGGTTTGGACACTAGAGTATTAAAATTTATATTTAGCTAACACAATGAAAATAATTCACACAGAATACAAATGTAATGTTAAAGACCTACAATTTTTGCATCTCTCTTCCATCATCTGAGGCGTTTCTGTCTGCTCGACACGGGCAACTTTATATCCCTTACGTATAAGCATATCAGAATATCTGCCATACGAAATTTCTGGAAATCCAGCATGAGCAAATTCACCCTAGAATATACATTTTAAAAAAATAAATTTTATTACAGGCAGTAAACAACTCTGCAGTGATCAACAGACATACCCATCAAGGGCAATCACATGGCACTGGAGAACAAAGTAGACATCTGCAAAAAAATTCATATAAAATACCTGGATCATTTCGTGAAGTTGTAGACTTTTCACGAGTAGTTGGATTCTCCAACTTTGTTTTGAAATATCCTTTAATTCTCAAGAAATTACAATAAACGAAAGAAAATAAAATAAATATGAAATTTTAGAGAGCCATCTATCGACATAAATCAAATTTAAACATCCCGCCATTATCTGATTGGTTAATGTGTTAGGATACATTTATTTTTTATTATAAAGTTAATAGAAAATTCTTTAAATAATTACTTTTTGTTATAAAAACAGTTTATTAAGTATCTTTAATTCAGAAATAAATTTATTAATATAATAATGATCATTTCAAGCATAACAAAAAGCATATGCTGATTAGTAATATCCCATAATAAATATTAATTTGCATAAAATAATTGTGAAAAGTTCTATACTCAGACTATTTTATTAAATAATATTGTTTTCTTATTTTTTGTTTTTATTTGCTACTAAATTTTCTTTAATCACAATATTTTCAAATTCAATTTTCAGGATATTAACTCAATTTGTCACATATACTTCTGTTACTTTTATTAACTGCATTTTTAGTGTTTATACTTTGTGTGTTTTATGTGGTAATTTATTTAATACTAATTTAATTGGATTACTCTTTTCGTCAATGTCCACAGAGTTATAAATTTAACTTTACTTTTAAATTATAAAATTGAGATTTTTCTGTATTTAATATTTAAAATATCCATCTCAACATCTCAAAAAAATTGAGAATTTATCATGCTTAAAGTATTCTCCTTTCACTCATGCATCACATTCTTTCTGGAATCCATTATTAGAGAGTTGTCATTGTACTTTTCATCTGGTACTTTTCATCAACATCAGTTTTCTGTACTTGTGGAAAGAGAAAGAAATCACTTAGTTTAATTTCAATGTAAATCTGTCTCTGTAATAAAAAAAAAACACTTTGGTAGACGANTAATTAAATCCTTGTTAAGCATTAATTGTAGTTTGAGTCACTTCCGTATGTTGTCTCTCGATCGACATTATGAATCCGTCTGTCCACTTATGGGACCACTTGCGCGAAGGAGTGACGTGGTAATTACCATCTCCTAAATATAAATTTTAAAGATTTTGTACTTAATTATAACACAAAATGTTCGAATTAGTAACAAATTATATTTTTATGTACCTTAAAAAAGAGAATAGTATCAAAATGATGAGCTTTCATCTCCCACCACTGCTTTAAAGCCTAATAAGAAAAAATATTTTTATTATTAATTATTTCAGCTATTGATAAACTAATTTATAAGCAAAATCATGCAAGGCTTTATTTTATTTTTGGCCATAAACAAAAATTTCAATCTACTTAAACAGAAAATTTTCTTAAATGGGAAAATTTATACAGGAATTTTACGTTTCATCACTAATTGGGAAAAAATTGAGACTTTTAAAATTAAACTTCTTACGTAGGAAAACTTCTAATATGGAAACTTCTTAACTGAGTTCTATTGTATAATTAAATTATAATTTTCATCTTTCTATACAAAATGAAGTTAAGTTAGTACACTAAAATCCAATTTCTTTATTAAATTTTATTTTTAAATGATTTCCAGAAATTTTAAAGCATTTCTGTTATTTATTTTAGAATAATAAGCAAAATATAAGTAGTTCTTTGATTAAAGTTCTATGCCATCCTTTTCAGCTATTCCTTAGAAATATGATGAAAGAAGGATAAACAAATGAATTAACATCCTAAAATTTTTTTCTCCTCTTCTGAAACTACAACTCAAGCTAATTCCAGGTTTAAGACTGGGCTATATTACGTTAACTGTTTGGTCATCTGCCATTCATCATTCCCTCGAGGGATGGTGCATTATCTCTACTATATTACTATTAACGAAGAGCAGATTTACTATATTACTATAAAAATTTGAACTTACAGGAGTGAGAGTTTTCTTGTAGCTTTCTGGAATAAATAATGTTCGAGGATCATAATCGGGATCTGATGGTGATCGTCCTTGAATATCTCTAATAAATATTATATAAAGTGATTTTTTTTAATCAAATCAATATCTGTTATATGGTACTGTTAAAAAGAATACTAACTTTCTTTGATGACTTTTCAACCAATCTAACTTCAAATGGGGCCATATTTTTTCTTCTCCATTTTCTCTGTTTCTATTCTTAGAACTCTAAATGATATAAAATATACCACAATTTTTCAAGTTACATTTTAAAATGTTATTATTACATATCAGATGAAGTCATATTTACATCACTGGAAGCAAACATGCTTAATTTTGTCTTAGTATCACTGCTTACTGGAGATCTATTCAAACTAGTTGGTGTTGTAGGTACAGATTTTGCTATAGATTTTGTTCTTTTCTTATTTCTAGGCTTTTCTTTCTGAAAAATAATGACATACGAATCAATTGCATTAAAGTTCCAAATAGGAAATGTAAAATATTGTTATTTAAAAAAGAAATAAACCAGTAAAGATGTTTATAGAGAGTACTAAACACTACTTAATTATAAAAAAAAAGAAATATATTTAAAAATTTGCTAATTTTAGATGAATGTATTCATATATATGCAAAAATGTAACTTAATAACAAAGAACAATTCCTGTTCCTGTAACTGTAATTCAGCTACGACTCAGTTTAAGTTGTCTGCAAATCAAATGACTGAGAATCACTGGTTTAACTCTGTGAGTACTCCCAAAAATAAACTTTGATACACGTGGTGGGCTCTACAAAGTAAACATATATATAAATATTTTTGAAATTTGTCTCATTGTAATACACTCATATATTTCCAGCAAACTTGAAACTTTATAGACTGCTAGTGACATCTATTGATAGGTGTAGAAATTTTTACATGATTTTTTTTAAGTTTTGCATGATTTAGCATAGAATTTTCTAGCATAAAGACAAACATGGCGTCTAGTAGTTGTTCATACTTGCTGTCTTTTGAATTGAAGTTATTCAGCAAAATTGAATCACAAGAAGAAAATATTGCCTAGTTTATTAAAAAAAAATATGAATTATAAAATGAGATATTAATTTTTTCATAAATGTTAGTTTTTAAAAACTAACATTTATGAAAAACTAACTCCAGAAGGAGAGCGAGCAACCAGAGAACTCACCCATCAAAAGGTAAATAATATCTACCTCTAATTACACCATTCTACAGAGGTTTTTCTTTCTTAGGTGAAAATAAGTTTTTCTGAAGCATTTTTTTTAATGAGAAATTCAAATCTTAAATCATAATTTTGTTATCAAATAGAGACTCAGAAGTTGAAAACATCAACTTCTGAGTCTCTATTTTAGATGTTGACTGTTCTGTTATTAAGCTGCATGATGTTAATTTGCAGGTCACTGTCAAACTGCTAAGAGTTTACAGCTTGTGTTTAAGTTAATTTACCTTATTGCTGAATATATAAAGTGAGTATATATGTATTTTATGTAACAATGTATAAAGCATTATTTAATTATTCTTAATGTCTAGTTTACAGCAATTATTTCAAATTTTCTAGACAATGCCTCTTCAATGATCTTATCAAAATCAATTAAATAGTTTCTGCTACATCGGTGGAGAGTACACCTTTGCAAGGCATAGGAAGAGATTCAGATAGAAAGGATAGTCAGATTTCATCCATCATAAAAAAGGATTACAAACATTACTTGGAATGGAAATGAGACCAAGATAAGCAGGGGACACCACATATTTGTTGTGCAGTATGCTATGCTAAACTGATTAATTGATGGAAAGGTAAAAATAAGTTGTTTGCTATACCCATGGAATGGAGAGAGCAAAACTGACCACCTCATCAATTGTTATTTTTGTCTAATGAATATGCAAGCATTTACAAACAGGAAACTTAGAGTAGATATTGTGACTCATACTTTACCCAGACATTCAGCAATAAGACCAGAGTCACACCAAGAAAGCCTTCCAGTATCTTTTAGATCAATAAATTAAATTGACAATGAGAGGGAAGAAAGTAGCAATAAGGAATTGTAATCATATCTTGAAAAAAATGACACTTTTGTATCAGGACACAAGTGATTCAGTCGGCTACTTTTTAACTCAAGCAGACCTTAATGATTTAGTCCATGACTTGGGGTTAAGTAACCAAAAGGCTGAGCTATTGAGTCAGAGATTTTACAGGAATACAATCTTCTCCATCCAAGTGCAAATATTACTGAGTTTAGACATAGAGGAAAAGTTTTCACTACCTATTTTGCAATTGACAACACACTAACTTTCTGCAACAATGTTGGTGGCTTAATGAAAGTTCTGGACCACAGGACTGGAGAAGTGGTATGAAGAGAAGTGATGCCTTCCATGTTAGCTGATTATTATTGTTGGATTATTATTAGAGATAAGAAAGACAGCTACCACAAAAGACGAAAAATAATTTTGTTTATATACAAAATTTTATTCATTTTTTTGTAGAATAAGTGTTATATAGTAATGTGAGATAAAAAGAAATTCCTATATTAGAACTAGTCTTTATTATTAACATTGTTCGAGAGACATAACGATTGTTGTTTGTAGCTACCTGAGAAAGTCTCCCGTTACATTTTCTCGAAGGCAACATGACACTTTCTTGTAAACCTCTGCACGGCGAAAATCGTTGGTGAATATTGCCAGAGACAGCCAAAACAAGTCAGTTGTCGTCTGTCCTCCGTCAAAGGAAACCCGCACCGATTACTCCAGGAATATCGTGCCTATTTTGGATAACTTGTGCCATCATTGTGCTAGTGGATATTATAGTGGAACTACTCCCCATCAAACTATTATCACCCAACAAGAACTTCAATCTTCTATCACCAGGTATTTATAGAACTTGCGCTCGTTATGTGAACTCTCTCTCTCTGGGACACAAATTTAGCATTCTGTATCTTATCCAATATATGTTTAATTAAATCCTTGTTAAGCATTAATTGTAGTTTGAGTCACTTCCGTATGTTGTCTCTCGATCGACATTATGAATCCGTCTGTCCACTTATGGGACCACTTGCGCGAAGGAGTGACGTGGTAATTACCGTCTCCATGTTCCGATAAACATGGTGGTGTCAATCCTGACAGGGCACTAAGGAGTTGCCGACCCTAAAGGTCACAGTAATATTTTTGTGGGGGAGACTATCCGACTTTTTTGGAACGTGTTATAACGTACTGTTTTTTTCTTTTCTAGAAGGGAGAGTTGCATATGTGGTGTGGCTGACTCGCCATTGGATGCGTTTCATATTATTGCTGTTTGTAGTTTTTTGTCAAAATTACGAGAGGACACATTTGGGGTTCCCTGTTTCTCATTTAATCAGTTTAAAAAAGTTATTTCTGATTTTGATTTATTTTTTAAGACTTAAAGCGCAAGTCGTGATTATTTATGTAAATTTTGTCTTGGGGCGTGGTCTGCCTATTACTGTATTTAATCCTGTGGTTGTTTGGACTGCTTGGGAGACTATCCGACTTTTTTGGAACGTGTTATAACGTACTGTTTTTTTCTTTTCTAGGTAAGTTTTGTTTATAAATATGTCCCAGGCTCGGAAGCGGAAGACATTTTCTCCAACCGTTCCGGAAAGAGCAACAGCTAGGTTTAGGGGTGAGACTTCTGCTGGTGAAGAGGATATTGCGAATTTATTACGGGATTCTAATTTTGATGTGGCAGAGGGAGTTAGGCTTTTATTGCGATTGCATGTCTCGTTGAATGGTAAGGTGGATGAATTTATTAGAAGACTGGATCACTTGACAGAGTGGCTCAAGAATGTAGATGAGGCGTTGATTGATTTTGAGGTGAGGTTGGGGGAGGTTGAGGCAAAGGTTGGAGGGGATGTGATCGGTGTCGGACATTCGGGGGATATGGATAAAATTCTTACGAAATTGTCCTTTTTTGAGAGGGAACTGGATGCGATGGACAATCAGAGAAGGATGAACAATGTGGTTATTCACGGATTGGAAGAGAGGAAAGAGGAGTCGTCTCTGGAAATATTTGATTCTGTTAGTTCTTTTGCGGTTAATACTTTGAATTTATCCGCGTTACATTTTGTAAATGTGCATCGGATTGGGAAGAGAATTGGAGATAAACCTAGACCAGTGATTTGTCAATTTGGGTCTTTTAGTGATAAATTAAAATTTAAAAAGGCTGTATTTGAAAACCGGAATCTTAATGTTGCTGTGTATGATGATTTTTCTAAACGTTTAAGGGATATTAGATACAACCTAAGGATTTTTGGAAAGAAAAAAAGGGAGGAAGGAGCAAGAAATGTTCGGTTAAGTTATGATAAGTTATTAGTAGATGGAGTTCGGTATAAATTTGATGAAGTATTGGCCAAGGTGGTGCCGATCTCATAGCAACCACCAATGACTTCTGTGTTTTCTATTATGGCGTGGAATTGTGCTGGGATTGGTAATAAACCGCGGTCCTTCTGGAGTTATTTATTGAAGTATGACGTGGTTTTTTTATCGGAAACATGGTTTGTTAAAGGTAGGGGTAGATGTTACTGGGAGGAATTAAGAGAATATCATTGTATTGTTGGTGATGCTTTGAGGGTTCACAATAGAGGTAGACCTATGGCTGGTTGGTTGCTGTGCATTAAATCTTCTTTGAAATTTAGCATTATTTATAGAGATAGTTATATTATACTGATTAACATTTTGTTACCGTTAGGAGAGTTTAATATTTGTTTTGTTTATATACAGGAACAAAGATGGCAAGAAATTTTTGATGTATTGTCC